TGTTCAAATTTGCCACCGTTTGCTCTGAATCGCTCTGTGGGCTTCAGAAACGACGATTTCCTGTTTTTGGAAGGAGCTCTGGAAACTAAAATGGATCTGACCAATCGCTGAGTGGACATGCATTTTGAAAGGTTTTCACCTAGAAAAAAACTTGTGAAATTTAATGGGCCAGATTTGGCCACTTGTCGTCTTTAGATGAAATGCACCATAGCCATATCATTCTCACAAAACGAAAATGGAAGCAACGAGAAGATAATCCACTACAGCCACCCGAATACCTTTCGCACAGCATGTGGGATTAGCATGTTGGCGATGATACTAGGGTGATCAGCGTCAGTTTCATTCAAGTGGACGTACTCGGGATGGCAGCTCATTACATGAGAACACAGGTTTGTGTAACCAGTGGTCTTTTTGAGGTGCACGTGCCCACACTTACACTTCCATTCGTTGCCGGTAGGGGTGGTCTTCGTGAAGTAGAGCTCAGCGAGCCGCTTTCCACGAAGCGCGTTGGTTGGAGGTCTCGTCGACATGGCAAGTGAGTCAATGTTCAATTGGGGTGTCAAAAGTAATTGGTGGTAAGCACTCTAATCCTAACTATGACCAACCAATTTTAAGCACCAATGAGAATTATCCTGTCATTTGGAATAGATTATTTATTTTGCATATGAAGATAAGTTATTTATTTTTTCGGGTGATGGAAAAAGATAACTTGTCTATTTTGGTGGTGCCCGAAAATAATCTATTTTCCGTTCGAATAAAATATATATTTTAAATAGATTATTTTTGAGAACCCCTGGTCGCCGGCAGTGCAGGTGAGCACAAGTGCGGCCTTCACAAGGTCGAAGAAGTACCCTGTGACTCCTTCACGCGTGACAGCATTGCGAGCTTTGCTCAGCTTCTGGGCCATACGTGCGGACAGGTCGTGGTGCCGACTCTCGAAACGAGTGTACCAATCACGTCCAACCGATCGAGGAACGACAAAGTGGTGTTCAGAATCTTATTTGCCTTGATCACAACCTCGTAGCGCTCCACTGGCCAACCAGCACGTTGCATGGCAGCAATCCACGTCACCAAGTCTTTTTCCAATGGCTCGGGAGCAACGGCTTGAGTCCTTGCTTACCAATTGTAATTGAACCAGTTGCTTTCTTCATCTTCTTGTACTTATCTATCGTCGTTCGTTTGATGCTCGAGCTACGAGCCACTGCTGCAACGCTCTCGCCTTTTTCGACGCGATACAGCGCCGCGGCGATGTCTTCAATTGTTGGGATCGTGGACGGGAAAACACGTTTACGGCCATAACTCTGTCAATTTTTGCACACCAAACCATCAGGCCAATCAAAAGCATTATTTTCCGCTTCATTTGAAGAGAAACGGATGAATATTGATGAAGTTATGATCAAATTACTGACTGGCGGTGACGGAACATGAATTATATTGTTGTCTTGATTTAAAAATTAGGTTGTATTTGGTGATCCTGGCAGGAAATGGTGAATATTATCATAGCCAATAGATTTCGATCACAATCAAACAGGGATATTGGATTGGCCAAAATCGAAATGTTCGCGATTTCGATGCTGTTCGGGATTTCGATGCGTTACCTTACTGTCCGTTTGGGCAGGATGAATGAATTCAACTTTTCTACTCCACCGATTTTGATGATTTCTTTTGCAATCGCTTCATCTTGAATTATATGCGTTGCAGCCTGGGTGTCAGAGCTCCAGCTCATGCGCAGCGTGTGGAGTTTGCTTGCGCTGGCACGCAGATTTCGGCACGGATCTGAACAATTTTAATCGTGACTGACACAGTTGCACGACACTACCCGAACATATTATTTTGAATCTGAGTCAGTATTACTATTCATTGTGCAGTAATACTACACACTGCAACGAACCAGTACGATGAACAAACTTAGAAGACAAGCGTTTGACGCGGTAGCGCAACGGTTAGTGCGACGGCATCCAAGTCGATTGAGGAAGGGGGCCGGGGTTCAAGCCCCGGTCAGTGTCAAACTTTTTCCCGATCATAAATTACATTAAAATTAAATTACATTATAAAACCAACGACATTTTATTCATTCAAACAATTACTAGCGACCACCAACAACCGCTCCCAAATCACCCATCAGAGTGCTCTCGCGTGGTGGCAATCGAAGT